ACCCCCACACCCCACACCCCACACCCACACCCACACACACCATCCAACACCCACCCACCAACACCCACAGCCACACCCACACCCTCATGTAATTTATTCTCGAATCTATGAGTCGTTTTGTACATCATTTAAACTTATTTTCTCTGCCAAAAAAAAATAAATAAAAATGAAGCGACGAAAGAATAAATGGACATCGATGAGCATGAAATTAATTGTGCATCGGCCGTAAACAATTGACATTCATTCATCATCAACATTCGGTTATTCTTGTCGATAATCAAGAACAGTTCATTCTACCGACCATCCTGATGACTGGCGATGCGTAACAATCAGATATGAGAAGATGCACAAAATTAAAACAAAAAGATTTCATCCTCGAAATGCCTGGAGCCAGTGAAAAATTTTTAGTGTAGTGAAAGTGTTAGGTTTGATTATATCAAATATGAAGTGTGAATTTCTTTTCTTGCCTAACGAAGCGTGAAGATAGAATAATTTCAAAATCTATTGTCTTTGACAGTCCGATAATCTGCGGTGTAATGCAAATTTTTTTTGCTCTGCTATTTTTTTTATGTATGCCTGTTGAGCTGATCTGATCTTCAACATATAAAAGAAACCGTTCTAGGTATCGTTTATGCACTAGACTAGAGTTTCTGTCATCTTTGAATAAGAATATTTACCTTTCTTCTGAGGACTAAAAATGTATTAAACTGTTGAAATTGATTGATTGTTTTTTTTTTCTTGTTCTTTAAAACTGATACGTATGATTTGACGATCGAAATTATAAACAAAGAACTTAATAATGTGAGGAAAAGCGTGACTGATGTTACGTGTGTTATGAATTATATATTTCTATACTGTTTCATTTCTGTGCGCTCTATCAAAATTTTTTTTTCTATGACGATTGAAGGTGTGAAGATCACTATTTGTATGCCGCGTTCGTGTTGAATAATGTTCTATTTATATCTGAAATGTGATGCCGAATTCATGAGTTTGTAATGTAAAGATCACTTCTTCATAAAGTTTGTTTCTCTATTTCTTTGATTGCTATGTTCTTGACTCGATGCTGTAATACTGTGAAAACGTACGTGTGTTGATATGAAACTACAGGTGAAACTCGAAAATTTCGTTTCCATATTACTTTGATTTCTACGATTAAGTTCAAGCGATGAACTTTTTTTGATGTAAATTTTCTGTCATCCAATTAATTTTTTTATCATTTCTGTTTTTTTTTTCTAAATTGTAAAGGCGCTCAGGAGCGCGTCTGATCTGAGTAGGAGGATGTGCCGATATATGCGTCACGGCTCGTTGCTCTTCTTCTTTTCTCTTCCTCTCTTTATTGTTGTTTCTGTGTCGTCTCTTTCTCTCTCTCTTTGTTTCGCTGTCATATATAAGCGTGTGTTGAATGTGTAATAGACACATTCTGGAGATGTGACGTAGCTAATAAGCATCATTACCGAGGGTGGCGGTAAGCTACTCCTCCAGTCTGTCATCTAACATCGCTCCCTCCATTTTATCGTTACAGTAATGATAGAAGAATGAGATACGAAGGAAAAGTGGACGCATACGCATATACGTATGTAACGGTCGTCCTATATGAACAGAATGGAAAAAAATTCATTTTTGACGTGGAGAACATTTTTCCGCTTGTAATGAGCATTTATCTCACCGATCGATTGGTTGTCCACTGTTGGTAAAAGATGATTTAAATATGAAAGGGACCAATCGCATTGCTTTGTTCAGTTTTATTTCGTCTAGCCTGTGTAGATCCTACGACGAGTACGCAGTAAGGATGAAGAATCGATAGATAAGAGTGCTGGACGAAATATAGAAGAAATCAGGCCGATATAGAATAAATCAGTCAGAAAAAACAAAAACAGCATAGACAAGTTGGAAGTAGACAAAAAAGAACAATAAATCAGAGCGAAATTCAAAATTTCATTAATAAATTATATTGAAAAGGTAGTTTTGAATGAATTATCATACCAAATATTCTTCAAAACGTCTTTAATTGCAAAATAATATCGAAAACGAGAGTTTTATTTGCTTGGATAACTACAGAAATAAGTACTAAGAAAAACAGCAAAAACCTCTTCACATTGGACACTTTCATATACTGGACACTTTGGAAGAGTCCCTTAGGTGTCCACTACGAAAAGGTTATACTGTAGTTTTAATTAACATAAAAATAAAGAAAAGTATACAACAAAATCGTGGAGATCGATATAATTATGAAGAAGGTAAAATTACCAACAAAACAAGTGTTTCAGAAAAAAATGTCAATATAATATGTGTTCAATTTGACTATGCCGTGTAAGTTATTTTTGAGTACAGCAACGCCAATGCATATCGATAGACAATATGTTTCCGACATAGAAATGTGTTTCTTCAGACTGCATGGAAACTTTGTGGTGTCGAACCTAATTTTTTTGTCGATCTGAATCATGCCGATTCTTTACCTAATACGACCTCATCCTAAAAGTCATATGCGACTGATTGATTGAATTCGCAGATGTAAAATGGTGCAGTTTTCGAGAATCATGAGCAAAGTATACACCATGCCCTATACAATAACAATACATGAAATCTTCAAATGAACAAACTCATTGTATTATATTTGCATCTATTAAAAATTGAAAATTTTCAAAAGTTCTCAAATCTGTATCTTTAATGTCTTGTGAGGATGTTTTTGAATTTGCTGAAAAAATCACATTTTTCAAAATTCATACTATTCTACACCATAGACTTCTTTCGTGGTCTTCGAGATCAGATTAAATCAACATGAAAATGACACCCATAAACTGCTGTCAATCAAGTTTTATTAGATGTTATAATGGAATAATCTAATAAACAAAATTTCTTTTAATCGATTCGAGTTGAAATTTGTTTGCAATTGCATGGTAGAAGGAAATTTTGCTACACTTTAATTCTTTATGCTATTATTCAACAAAATAAACCATTAGAAATTATTCTGTTCATTTATTTATGAAACGATTTAAGATACAACATACTCCATGTTTCAGTCAGATTGGAAAACCGATCATCAAAAACATCTTCTATTATACCATTGATTTCTCCATCTTTAAAGTCATGATAATTTTTGTTCATTTCGATCTCCTTTGCATTGTCTTGCAATAATTTTCTTCATCGCTTCGTATACATCTTCCAAAAAATGAGGATGTGGGTGTGGGTCTCATTGAGAAAAATACCCACATCCTCTTGCAGAAAAACAAAGGTATTTCTATGTTGATCTAGTTACTCATATAGTTGAATAAATTGTTGTTTCTTCTACTGTTATGGTAGCAAACTGAAGAATCATAAAAAAGGAAAAGTATTCACACACGAGAAAGATTGAGAGAAAGCAAAAGAAAATGCAAAACATAGACATTTTTTTTCTTAGTACAGCCGGTTTTGCGCACTGAATCATTCTCATTCATCTGTCTCACAAGGTAAGAAACACGTTTTATAATGTTTTTTTCGCACATGTATACATCGACAACATATAGAATTTAATATTTACAATTAGTCGATTTTCATAAATAAAACGAACGACACAACATGATTTATGATGCCAAGTATTATATGCAATTTCATCTAAACTCCTTATTATTTGAATTTTTCTGATTTTCTCAAATTGCTTCAAAGTTTAAATATTTTCTGCGTTTGAATCTAAACTCGTAATTGAAGTTCAGATTTGTATTTAGAGAATGTGTAGAATTGCAATCATACAAAAATGAAAAATTTAAGAACTTCATTGATTGATTATCTTTCTTGAATTATAGCAGCCTAGTTGCTCTACAAAATCAGTCATCTTTTTTGTTCATATTACATAATTTATTTACTAACAAGCAAATAAAAAACTTTCGATGACAAACGTTTATCTGCTCCATCTTCCAACTGAAATATTCCATTGCATTTTCGATTATCTCGACACACCAACTATTTTGCGTTCAATTCGATGTGCTTGCAGTCAACTTCATGCAATTGTTAATACTTATGACCACTTTGAACTTGAGTTCAAATCTATTGACATAGATCGTATCAAATTTATATCGGATGTTATTGGTATTGAAAATATAACTTCTCTAATATTTTCTATTGGAAACAGTAAACAATCAAATAATATTGATTTAGCTCTATCGATATTTACTACTCGACAATCTAATCGACTTCGTTCATTGACTCTTCTTGAGATTTTTCACAGTGACCTAAATCAATTATTACCATGTATCAATGCTCTCAGTTTAGTATCACTTACAATTCATTTATGTGGAACATATGCTATTTCAACAAATACTCCTCGTTCAATAATAACGCTTCAATCAAGTCTTCAAAAATTCCACTTAAAAGGTTTACATAGTATAACAAATACCTTATCATGGCCAACACACTGTATATTGCAGTCTCTAACAATAGAATATTGTAGTTTTAAAGAATATCAATTTATTCTTGACCACTGTCCCCTTTTGCGAACACTTGTAATAGAACGATGCTCACTGTATGATATAAATGTTAGAACTATGACAACGTCTACGTTTCGATCCTATACACAACTAACTTCACTAATAATGTGCAACATTTATTTATCTTTCGATGAACTGAGTGTACTTTTGTCTTTAACGCGATCACTTATTAATTTAAAAATAATCAGTTGGTCAGGAAATTTCTACTCTTTATGCGACGGATCTAAATGGGAAGAATTCATTCAAAACAAATTACCGCGCTTGAATAATTTCGAATTCTGTTTTCGACAAACTCTTGATTACAATAATAATCATCCTAGTCACCATTCAATTATAAATCTATATCGAACACCATTTTGGCTTGAGAAAAAACATTGGTATGTTACATGTGATTGTGTTATACGTTCATCATTCGCATCTGAAATAATACTTTATACAATGCCAATCAAAATAGATAATATTCGACTCATAATTAGATGTCAAGCATTATCAATGGATAATCTTTGTTATTTCACTAAGTACCAGTTAAATCACCAAGATGAAATCAGTGAAAGAGAAGTATGTATAAAATGCTCTTCAATTACAGATATTAATGATCTATTTTTTGATTGTTGAATATACATAGCACAGAATGAAGATCTTTCCTAGCTTAAAAACTTTCTATTATGTAAAGTTTTATGGTATTGTTTCGATTTGAATCTATACGAAACACTTCTCAAAAAAAGTGTGTATTATGACACAATTTTTATTATTCATATCCTAACTTTTGATTCACAGTCTCTAATATCAGATTTTCGTAAGGATTAATAATAATTAGAATATGTAATAACTATCATCTGTGTATTGGTGTATAATGATAATTGCTTCGCTTTCAGAATCCCTCTCCTCAATAGACATGTATGACCTTCTAATGAGACTTATGCTGAAAAATTATCCTTTTTTCTTTTTCCAGCTTTACGATCCGAATTGAAGTGTTTCGAGCTTTGTTTTGACCAGTTCATAGTTCTACATTAGTTATTTTAAATGATATGTAAGAAGGTGGCTTTACTCCTTTTTGTTTCATTTTAATTCATATACTTTATTTTCATTCGTAAACTAAGAACATCTTTTATAAAGAATAAAATAAAAATGGAAGAAAATACAAAGAACCTTCGACTTTACTGATTATCCCAAAAGTGAGCTAATTTTAATTTGTTCATTATCTATTTTCTTTGTGGTCTTCATCAGCACTAAGTTCGACATCCTCAGGAAATTCCAAATCTTAATAATTGTCTAAACAGACCAGTAAATGTTCACTTTCTTCTGTATCAGAAACAATCTCCAATTGACCATTATCTGTTAAACTATCATATTCATATTGATCATCAACCAGATACAGTAGTTATCATAAGTGTTCACCACAATCTTCATTTTGTGTTCGTTATTATATTCGATTTGAATAAGAAGTAGTTATTTCAGTTGCATCTATTGATACGACTACTTTTATCGATCACCGTCTGTTTATAGCTCTTTCTCCTTATAGTTTTCTATCACTCTCATGGTATAATCTAACGTTTATATTTATCCGACGTCCATCACTGCAAATACTTCAAAGAACATAAATTTTAGAAAGCCATGGCCTTCTATTTTGAGGAAGGAGTTAGTTTGATCTAATATTCGAAAAAATCACGTTCAACTTCAAAAATATTCTCTTCATTTTCAATATATCTGTTTTAACTTATCAAAAAATAGGTATTCATCGAACCCAATCTTGAAAATAATAATAAGCATGCATGCAATATACCATATCTGGCATGTGCATTAAACTACAACAAAGTTATTATGTTCATTGTATCTTTTTATTGATGTCTTACTTAGTTTGTTTTTTTAATACAGACAATTCACACACTCAGTCTGAATCAAAATGATATCAGAGATGATGAAATACTTCATTTAGCCACTTTACTAAAAACTAATATTGTGAGTATGATTGTTTTCGTTTTTACCTTTATTTTGCTCCACTGTAAATTTTTATTTGAATATACATGTAGCAACTAACAACATTGAATTTGGAAATAAATCAAATTGGACATCTAGGAATCAAATATTTGGCTGATGGACTAAAGAACAATACGGTGATTTTTATTATTTTTTTTTTGTTTGTTCCATTCATATTCTATCTTCAAATGTTTTTCTCTGTAGATTCTTACTACGTTAGCTATAGGTGGAAATCATTTTGGCCACGAAGGAACAACATATCTAGTTGACATATTAGAAAACAATAAAGTAATTTACTTCTTGTTTGCAGTATCTGTTCTCTATTTTGCATAGACTCATTTGTTTTTCTATAGACAATCACTACGCTTAGTATTGGTGGAAATGATATTGGATTAAAAGGAATACAAAATATAGTAAATGGATTAGAAAAAAATACAGTAAGCTATCTTCTCTATAAATCCCATGTGACGTTGTCTTGTCATATCCATAGACATTGAAAAATCTCGATCTTCAAGATAATCATATTGGAGATGAAGGAATCCAATATTTGTGTAATGCATTACGAAAAACTGTACTAAACCTTTTGTTTTTCGACTTATGTATTCTGTATTATATATTTGTAATTATAATGTGCAGGCATTGACTACACTCGATCTTAGTAGTAATCTCATTGGAATGTTGGGACTAAAATATCTTTCTGATATTCTCGAAAATAATTCAGTAAGTACATTATTCATTCATTACTCGTCAATAAGATGTATGAATAATTTATCATATAGACATTGATTACACTCCGTTTGAGAGATAACGAAGTGAGAAGCAAAGGAGTTGAATATTTAGCAGATGCATTACAAACAAATATGGTTAGTTTTCTTTTGTATTTCTTTTTTTATATCTGCTTTCATTAGACACTTACTACACTGCATCTACGACTTAATCATATTGATGATGATGGAGCTGAGTATTTGGCAAATACTTTAAGAACTAATAAAGTCTTTATAATATTTTTAATTTTCTTCTCCAAACTTTCTCTTATACGGAATTCAATCTTTTTAGACATTAACTACTCTCGACCTTTCGAAAAATCGAATTACAGGTGCTGGAGCGTTATGTTTAGCTGATGCATTGCGAGAAAATACAGTGAGTTTTTTTTCAATGAATAGTTATTTTTGTTCAGGTTTTTAATTCTTTTTTTCCTTTACTCAGACAGTTACTGAACTCGATCTTGGAGACAATCAACTCGGAATGATGGGGGCTAAACATCTAGCCAATATGCTACAAATGAACTCAGTACGAATAATTGACATATAATACATATTATATTTATCTAAATTTCTCTTTTTATGATCAGACTTTAATGATACTCAACCTATGGGATAATCGAATTAAAGACAAAGGTGCTGATTATTTGGCATCTGCATTAGAAACTAATATGGTTATTTTTAATTGATCTATTTCGTATTTACCTTCACTCTTTTTCTTTGTAATTAGACACTCACTACATTAGATATTGGATCAAATCATATTGGAGACAGTAGTGCAGAACATTGGATTCATTGCTTACAAACGAATAAGGTTATAATCCGTATGATGCTTTATTTGAATTTTCGAACATTCCTTTTATTGTCTATTAATCAAGATATAGGGAGTATAGAAGATATTCATTAATTGATATAGTTGATCATTCAATGATGTTTTAATTTAAATATCTGTTCAAAAAGTAATCTATATCTTGATAAACAGGCAACAATAGGAGTGTCCGAAAATTTAAATAACGAATATAATCGGTTATTTTGTCATGTTCATCGTACCATAACTTTTATGCTTCATTCTATAGACGATGATCACACTCAATCTTCGCAATAACTCTATAAATAAAGATTTGATTCAACGTGTCAATGAGTTAATCGATAAAAATAAATTATTAAATAAAATCACAACTTAGTTAAAATGTTTTATACAAAAGAAAATTATCACAGTAGACCTTTTTTGGAATATCTGTTTTATATTTTTCTGTATTATTCTCATTCGTCAAATAAACTATACTATAAATATCTATTGTAGTTTATTCACATTTACATAAATATATTGGAAGTTCATGATAGATATTTTTTGATAAAATTATTAGTTGAATTATAGTGATATGAAAGATATTATTCATGAATATGAAAAAATTGTAATCCACATCGGATGATTTGATAATGAAAATCTTATCTGAATCTGATTTATCCAAAATTCAGTGAGAAAATTTAAGGATGAAAGTTAGAACAGAATTTTGATTCGACATTATTCAAATAGACTCTTAATCTGGTACATGATTGGTTGTTGAATGACAATACGTTGGGATAATCAGAAAAAAACTAGGTAATAGTTTTACACTAATACCTATAAAATAACGAATATATTCAGCATCAAAAATTTTATTATCACTGGTATGACCGTTCAGATCTGAGGTAATTTTCTTTGAATTATCATTCTATTTCTCTTATCGATCAGGTTCGAATTGATCGAGTAGATGCAATCTTAGAAAGACTATGATGATCTTGAGCATGTGATTATGTTTTATCATAATAATCTAACAAGCTCTTATAAAATTTTAAAACATACTGATTTGGGAAAACTATTAAGATTATACACAAAATTCAAACATGTGAAGTATGCGAAAAGTCTGCGACACAAGTATATTGATATCGTTACGGAATATGATTTTACATGTGTAAGAATGTGCATGTGAATATGACTGCTCATTGTCATTATTATAAAACTGAATATACATGTGCCTACTATTTTAAATGACAAAAACGTCTGTATTCTTACTTTATCCACTCATAAGAGTTTGATTTATATCGTTAGTCTAAGAATATAATGAAACATTTATTTTCTTTTTATCGTCAAGCATAAGTAAAAATTCTATTTGTATTCACTTCTATTATTTCCTATCCATGATCTCTCCATACTATAAAAACATTATTATAGATAAAAAGAGAGATCAATAATGGTCTGAATTATTTTCTCTTCATTTTGAATCTTCCTTATTCGTGAATGGCTTCTTCATAGCGTATAATACAGACTAAATAGCTTATAAAATTTCAAAATAGAAGACTGCTTAGAATTAAACACATCATTATTAACTGTAAATATATATGCATATCCATATCTTTCATTGTCTGAGAAACTTTATTCAATACCAGCAATAGATCACGTTTTCTAATTTTGTTATAAACAAAAAATAAAATCAACATGCTGTCTTCGTCATAAGAGAAAGAAAATAAGATCGAAAAGACTTTGCAAAATGAAAATTTTTCTATACAATGATTATCTTCTTTTCAAAAACTATTTTTATTATGCACGTGAACGCCAATCTTGATTGTAGAACATAGTTATTTTTCGAATCGTATAAACATGGATTCAGATTCATCAACAAGTAAACCATCATTAATTACATATCAAACTCCAGAAGAACTGCTTGGACTCATTGATGAACAAGTACAATGTCTCAATCAAGTGAGAAAAATTCATCCATTGGAAAGCCTAAAACAAGAACTCCAAAACGTCGAAGAACGATCATCAAAGTTGATTAGTATTGCCACTTCTTATATTGGTGTTGGATATTTCGTTAGTTTTTCAATGAATATTTCTTGCTATCAAATATCTGAAAGATTTTGCACACGTTTACTTGGTGTGAAGTAATAGATATTATGCTGAGATCACGTTTGAAATATTGTACAATGAAAAACCAGCACAATTGTATAATTTCAATGATTGTTTGGAAATATTTTGCAAAGAAGGATGGATTCCAAAACTTGAATTTGAATAATAGAATCTTAAAATAAGTGGCATGGAAATTAGTGGTTTTGGGTGTGGGTGTCAGTATGAATTAAGGGAAGAGTGATACCCTCTTTTGTGTGTTTCTGCCAAAGTCTGTTATTTATAATTTTTCGAAATTTTCATTGGGATCTTTTTCACTCTTTTTACCATCCTAATTTTTTTCGAGATACGATACTATCAGAGGGTATAAATGTGAGTTTAAGTTCAAATTAGATTTATATTCACCCGCACACCTACAACCACAGTCCCAAAACATCAACAAAAGAACTGCATGGACAATACAGCAAGCTAGTGAATCATCATTTAGCTGTACTAATTATATACAGGGGAAACAAAGACCTTCTCTATCGCCTACTAATCTTTACTGTACTATGGTATTAAGAGATGCTGATATGATTAGAAGATTAAGTCTAATACATTGAACACATTTTTATTTATTAAATATAGTAGAAGTTTGTTTTTTGGTTGCGTAGCTTGCCAAATTTCTTGATCTACACGCGTACAAAGCTACATTTTTATTGTCTTCTTATCTTAAGAAAAGGTATTAAAATAATGTGTGGATGCTTGTTCATCAAAAATATGAATTTCATTTATTCTAACTAATTAGTCATAGAAAAGAAAATTTATCTGGTACAGTTTTTTTTCATTAAATTTGCTTCAGGTTAACAAAAACGTTTTTCAATACAGAGTAACTAAAACAAAGCATTGATCCTTATTTATTTAATGATTCAAATTGCATAACAAAATTTACATATTGTTAAAATTTGAAAAATAGAATCCTAGTAGGCAGCGGCATAATCTAAGACTATTTGTAATGGTAATTGCAGAAATTAAAAAAAAACGATGAGTGTTTTCTTCGTTTACACGAGTAAAACCTCATTACCCAACAAATTTAACTTTCTAAGTTTTGGTTAAGTATTATTTTAACCAAACATTCTTCATAATCCAAAAACCAGACTTTTTCTATCAACGAGATATAAATGTTTAGATTCATTTTAATCTGGAAAAATGAAATCTGAGGGCCTCATAATGCTTTGATGAGAAAATGAAAATCTAATCGATGATCACAAGTATTTCTACTATCTTATTTGTGTATTACTTATTACTTTCTTATTATTTATTACTTTTTTTTAATGACCATTACTTATTACCGGTAATCAGTAATAACAATTATTACTTTATTACTCATTACTTTTATTACTTTATTACCATTATTCCTTTATTACATTTATTACCCTTCAAAATTATTACTTTTTATTCAGCAATAAGTAATTAGTGACGGTGTTATTACTTAATACCAGTAAGTAATGTGCCACCCCTAATAACAGATAATGGTAAAATGTTGTTTTTTCCTTAATTAGAGAATTCGTTTTTGTGTTTGATATTTAGTTATATTACATATTTTACCACTTCATCATATTCATGGTCTTATCAATGGATTATTAACTCCACATTTTATTGGTGCTAAAGTAATCATGATTCCTCGCTTTGATGCATCGACGGTTATTCCAAATAAAAATTTTCTGTTTTCTTTTCGTAATTCTTTATTCTTTGTAATATAGGTATAGGAATATTTAATACATTCTGGTCCTGAACAGCAAGTGACAGTCTTTACAGGTGTACCAACAGTTTATGCAAAACTCATTTATGATTAAGATTCTAAATGTGCATCATGTTCTCGAACAAGAGAAATTATTCGTGAACAATGTTCACAAAAGGTTCATTTAATGATGTGTGGTTCTGCTGCATTACCCGAAAGTATTTATCGACTATGGTATGAAATAACTGGTTATAATCTTCTTGAACGTTATGGAATGACAGAATGTGGAATGGCATTGTCAAATCCATTGTATGAAGAAAGAATTCCGGTTTGACTTTGAATTGCGAAAGAATATTAGTTTTAGTAGAAATCATCTAATCGATAAAGAAATTTTCTAATGAAACTATATCGAATATTTAGTCACAATACGTTGAAAAAAATTTCATATTATTAGTGTACAATGCCCCGATCATTGAGTTCTGCGTATTTAATTTATTAGAACCGAGAATTCATAGTTCAATAAGAAAAACTTTCTCTATCCGAGTGATTTGTTAGATGAATTTCACTGTCAACGCCCTAACAAATCTCAATAAATTTAGAATTACAATTGAATGAAAAATATATGAAGCGCTTTGAAGCAGTACACACATTCATCCTCTGATTGTAACTAAACAATTACAAATTATAATCATGATGTCAAAAAGAAATTTAAATTTATACGAATAAAATTATCTTCTTGTATTGAGACATTCTTGACATACTTTTTTCCGACTATCTCGAGTGTTATGTGTCATAAAAAATTTTCCAGCTTCGAGAGAATCTTTGTTGTCACGTAACGCTATGCACACGGATCTGTTTTTGAACAATTTTGAGACATTTGACGGAGTCAGAAGGATTTGATTTTTGCAATTATTAGTTCTAATCGTCCGAAGCAAGAACTAGATCGATAAATCGACATAGGAGCTTACAACTAGGTTCGAAACCACTCTATACGAGTCTATACATTATCTTTAACTACGAAAACCGAAACTAAACATATCCCCATGCAGAGAGTGAGATTCGACATCAAATGATGCGAAGTGATACGTTACTTGGATTAGGGTTTTACATTATTTTTGTTTTTAAAATCGATTTCATAACTCTTGACTTGAAACTTTCTTTGAAAGTAAACAATGATGGATAGTAATTCAAAGTACAAGTTTCAAGTATTTTGTATTGTTATAAGTAAAAATTCAATATTTCGAGTTCTTCTCAGTTAATCTTTACGAGTTTTTCCCTATTAAGCTCTTCCAAGATTGTTTTAGTACCAAACAAAAAAGATTATAAATTTATCTTCAATAAATCCTGAGATATCAGCTGCTCAATGCTCAAGACTTTGTTTTCTACTAGTGTTTATTCAACGAGAAAATTGTATAATCAATTGAGTTCTTGTAAGTTGAATTTTGAAAGTTCATGGTGTTTATATCAGATGTACAATCAATGCTCAAATTAACGTCTTTCCTATTATGAAAAAGTACTGAGAATTATTCGGATCGATGTTGGATGAAAATCAACCGACGAAAAAAACTGCCAACGACGATTTGAAAGTTTTTCTTATTCCCGTTATATATTGGCTTCATAAAACTTATCTTTCATGAAATAGTGTTAATATGTCTAAGGAAGATTTGATGTGTACAAATATCTCGTAACTAAAATTAAACTATAATAAACAGCATGTTTATTTCTCATCGGTTAATACGGATAAATCAAATACTTGTTATTCTTTTGTAAGTTTAATAATGAATGATTGGAAATATCAATATAACCTAGAATAAGTCTTCATGTTTTAGCCGCTAATTTTAGATAAACAATGGTTTCTCATTAAAGCATTGTGTTTTTATAACAGAGCTTTCGAAAATTCACTTTTCAAACCATAAGATAAATGCGTTACATTCAATGTACAGTAACATTCCAGGATGTGAGTGGGTTTAGTAAGAATGATTCACGCGAAGATCTACACAGCCACACCCTTACTAGGTTGATCTAGCCGAAAGTTAGCTTACTTTTTTATAAAACCGTTATGTATACGACTGTAAATACAAAGTCCTCTGTATGTATCACCTGAGAGTCTTTCAACATATTTAAGTACATACGCCAGTGTTGGAGTTAAAATCGGCCGAATTATAACTTTTTTGTTTTAATTAATCAATATTTCAAAAATTAATTCTAACTTCCACATTAACACACAGCTTGATGAAGTTATTTTTAATAGTTTTATTCAGTTTTTTTGTATTTATTGAAAACCTGAAGCATTTCTTGTTTTGATATAGTTGAATATACCATGGATACTCTATCGAACTATATAGCTTTTATTTAATTTATATTTCGCCTTGTTCAAAAAACTGATAAATTTCCAGCAGCCCTGGAACGTCATTTTAATATGCTCTTATTTCAGTTCGACTAGACTCATTAATGTTGGAAAATCTTTTAAATTAAATAGATCCATCAAGCTTCCCCGTTCACGATATATTAAACAAACGGATTCAATATTGAGGAGAAAACTGAATTTTACTGTTAAAATTTGGTCAACTTTTGCACCTATAAAAAACAGGGTTATAGTGGTTTTCGCAAAAGTTCATCTCGACGATTGAACGTAAATCTAACCAAAATTATATAGATCAATAAGGAAATTAACGCTCTATATCAACCACAAATGGCTTATATAGTTAAACATCCAAAACTTCTTTCAAGAAAAGTCAAAAGCCATTACGAAGAAAAATTCAGGAACACCGAAAACTGCTGGATAATAATATCTATTTTCGACTTCTTTTCGCAATGTATCAAATTTTTGGACAAAATTCAAAATAAAATAAAAATAAAAACTACATAGTTCTGCAGAGTAATCGATGCCTTCTCGAACTACATCAAAATAAGAAACGCTTGAGGTTTTGAATAAGTACAGCAATCTGAACAAAACTACCAAAAATATGGTAATCAAGTTGTATATTTTTTTAGGCATTTTATTAGAAAGACTATCTCCTACAAATATTGAACAAAAATCAATTTTTTTTTGTTTTTAAATGATAACATTGATGTACATTTTTTATCATGTCAGTATGGTGAAATATATTATCCAGTAGTTAGAATTAAAAGGGTAGGTGTGAGTATGATTAAACAGAATACAAACACCTAGGGTGTGTGTGTGGATGTGGGTGTCATAAGTATCTTCTACCAACCCACACTCATCGACTCACACCCATACCCCCACCCACACCCACCCAAAAAAGCTTCTTTGTTGCAATCCGAAGGAATGACGATCAAAACGAAATCAATAAATTTCGCCATGAAATATCAAAATGAATTCTAATAGATAGTATAGTATATCTTTTACTATTTTAGATTTTCATTGACGTTATCACGTTTCCTGGTCTGATCTAAAAGAAGAATTGTTCTGTTAATGCTGTGAGAGATGCTCCGCCATAAGACCAAGGTCGACACTCTTCGCATTAACTTGAACAGTTACTCTTTTTGGATCAAACAGGGGGACCTAACCCCTACCAGGCGCGTCCCTCGGGTGGCGGATGACGGAAGCCCTAAACGGTTGCTCTGAATAATGAATAAAGGGCCGTGAACCAAAGGGTTAGTGCAGGCAAAGGGAAAACCACTCTAACTAATTTTTTCCAGCAAATATGGATAACAGTTATAATAATGTAACATTAGGTGGCGTTGGGACTCAAAAATTCAGTATGAGTGTCTTGCCCGGCAGGAGGAGATCAGGGGCTTCTCAAGTCACCATCAAGCGAAATCCTCTAATCAAAGAAAATAAATTGGTAATTGGTACATGGAATGTTCGAACGATGCTACAAGCAGGTAAGCTTGAAAATCTGAAGAGAGAGATGGAAAGGAAAAAATTGGATGTAGTTGGGTTATGTGAAGTTATGTATGAAGGTCGTGGCGAATTCACAAGTGGTGAGGTCAAGATGATTTTCTCAGGTAAAATAAAGGGTCAGAATGGAGTTGCAATTGTCTTAAGCAAAAGAGTAAAAAATTGCGTAAAAAGTGTAGAGTTAGTAAACGATAGGCTCATGATGGTAAGATTGAGAGCGGAACCGAAAGATGTAGTGCTTATTCAAGTGTACATGCCTACGAGTGCACATACAGATGAAGAGATAGAGGAATTATATTCACAAATAGAAGAGATGATACGAAGGGAAGAGAAGGATAGTTGTATTTTATTGATGGGAGACATGAATGCAGTTGTAGGTGAAGGGAAAGAGGATAAGATTGTAGGTAATTTCGGATATGGAATTAGGAATGATATAGGAGATATGCTAGTTAATTTTTGCAGAGAAAATAAACTAATAATTACAAATACATGGTTTAAAAATCACTTAAGAAGAAGGTATACTTGGAAGGCTCCTGGTGATAAGGCTAGATATCAGATAGATTATGTTTTGGTACAAGAAAGATATAGGAATAGTATAAAGAGAGCATGCACACACCCTGGAGCAGATATAGACTCGGACCACAATTTAGTTGTCGTAGAGATGGAGCTGAGGTTAAAGAAAGTTAAGAGAGCTTTAGTAAGGAAAAGATGGAACTTAGAAAAACTAAAAGTTGTTAAGGAAGATTTTGGAAATGTTATGGAAAAAAAGCTGGAACAAGTTAAGGAGAGGGATGATAAGGATGTTGAAGATAAGTGGAGTAGACTCAAAAGTATGATCGTTGAGTCAGCAAGAGAAGTGGTAGGATTTAAAGAAAATGTGAAAGCTAGGAAACCATGGGTTAGTGAAAAAATGATAGAAAAGATGGATGAAAGAAGAAAATGGAAAAATGTTAATAGTGAGATGGGTAGGCTACAATATAGAAGGTTGAACAATGAGCTAAGGAGAGAGGCAGAAAAAGCGAGAAAAGAATGGTTAGAAGGCGAGTGTGAAACAATAGAAGATTTAGAAAAATGTGGTAGGTATGATTTGATGTATGGAAAAGTAAAGGAGTTAGTCTGGCTAAAAAGGAAAGGTGGAATCGCGAAATGTGTGGAATCAAAAGATGGAAAGAAATTGACAACAGACGACGACATAATTACTAGATGGGGAGAATATGTAAGAGAATTGTATCCAAATGAGGGATGCTTAAGTGAAGGTACAACAGAGGATGAGAAGAGTGTGGAAAGTGAACGAATAGGGTTTTCAATATTAGAGAGCGAAATAGAAATGTCACTTAAAGAAATGAAATGTAAGAAAGCAGTAGGAGTAGACGGTATACCCATCGAGTTTCTCAAAAGTATGAAAGATGAGGGAAGGAAGGCTCTAGTTGATGTATGTAGGGAAATTTATGAAACTGGTTTGTGGCCCA